TTATTGGTGCTCCGCTTGTATTGGTCTTAGCGTGATGTTATATAGCCTATAGCCTTCTTTGATAAATGGGCTATCTAACACTGAAAGAATTTGAAATCGGACCAGTAGTTCCTGAGATTGGCGCGTTCTAACAAACAAACTCTTCAGCTTTATAATATTATAGCGACCCGCCCTCGCTTCGCTTCGGAAACATTAAATTTTATTATTGACCAGGTGAGCTGTGAGTTCGACCACACATGAAACCAAAAAAAAAAAAATTAAAAAAAAAAGTAGCCTATGTTCATCAGGGACAATGTCGGCTTCTAATGGAAAAAGAATTTTTCAAATCGGTCCAGTAGTTTCGGAGCCTATTCGAAACAAACAAACAAACAAATCTTTCCTCTTTATAATAATAATATATAATATATATATATATATAATATATAATATTATAATATAATATAATAATAATAAAGTATAGATTATAGTATAGATTAGAATAATATTTTTGATGGGTCACATCTTTTTCGTTAACACTTTTGCTGTATAAATACGTTATGGATTGCTTATAAAGCATTATGTATCCAGTCGTTAAGGATAGAAGTTTACATCGCAGGTGAGGTGTAAGACCAACGTCTGACTATGCAATTCTGAGATGAAACAGACCTTAAAGTTAAGCTTTAAATATGTTCGCTGCCTCACAAACGTATCTTGAATTCGCTAGGCCGTTTTACTAGTTTTTTTTTTTATTGCTTAGGTGGGTGGACTAGCTCATACATAGCCCATCTAGTGTTAAGTGCTTACTAGAGCCCATAGACATCTACAAAGTAAATGCGCCACCAACTTCGAGATTTAAGTTCTAAGGTCTCAAGTATAGTTACAACGGCTGCCCCCACTCTTCAAACCGAAACGCATTACTGCTTCACGGCAGAAATAGGCGGGATGGTGGTACCTACCCGTGCGGACTCACAAGAGGTCCTACCACTAGTAATTACGCAAATTATAATTTAGCGGGTTTGATTTTTATTACACGATGTTATTCCTTCACCGCGGAAGTCAATCGTGAACACTTGTTAAGTACGTATTTCATTAGAAATAATATCCGAGATATAAGTTCTGAGGTCTCAAGTATAGTTACAACGGCTGCCGCCACTCTTCAAACCGAAACCCATTACTGCTTGACGGCTGAAATAGGCAGGGTGATGTTATATACCCGAGCGGACTCACAAGAGGTCCTACCACCAGTAATTACGCATACACCGGACGTCTTATCTTTTAGGCCACGACGATTTCAGTGTAAGTGCCCCGCGCCTCTGCTGAAGACCGCCGTTGAAGAAAAGGGATGACAGATAGATCCGAATCTACATTAAGTCGAATAGTATTTTATTTACAAATTATAATGTATATTAATGCTGATAACTCTATACTAAATAACGTTGTTAGTTCATATTTATTCAGTGGCTATGCCAATGAAAGATGATTGATTATAATAATTGATTTGGCAAATTTGTTTATCCGTACAAATGAAATATAAAATATTGTTAAAAAATAATAATTAATTAAGACATTTCAGGATCGACGGAGCGGAATGCTGGAGGATTCTTGTTAAACAAACATCCTTTACGCAGTCCCGGCGTAACAGCGTCTGTGTTGCCAGCGCATAGAGCTCAATATTTATAATCTATGGTAGTTTTTATGATATCCGTTATACGTACAATTCGATCGGTCTCCCCGATAGACATAAGACGTTTTATCTGATTGGATGCCCGCCACGGAATGTCAACCTAACCTTGTTTGTTTGTCCGGCTAGCGGGTAAATTGGGACGAGGTGTTTTTTATAACTTTGAATGGTGGTTTAACTTAAACAAAAACTCGGTCAACGTGATCAGACTGTTGGGCGCAGGAAACTAATCAAAGAGATGCTATTATAATTTTCGATAATTTCACTTATGATGTTTCTATTCATCTGTTTAAATTTCGGAAATTTTAATGTAGTAGAAATAATCGTATGTTTTTTTTTATTGTCTATATGGGTGGACGAGCTCACAGCCCACCCGGTGCTAAGTGGTTACTGGAGCCCATAGACATCTACAACGTAAATGCGCCACCCACCTTGAGATATAAGTTCTCAAGTCTCAAGTATAGTTACAGCGGCTGCCCTACCTTTCACACCGAAACGCATTACTGCTTCACGGCAGAAATAGTGCATACCTAACCCTTCCCTAGTTCTAGTAGTTCTGGAATTAGTACTGGTGGTAGGGACTGTTGTGGTCTAGTACCAATTGATACGACAGTTCCTATTACATTCTTCGATCAATAATGGTACATTACATTAATGCGTTTGAGGAACGCTTATTCGATTATCTTTACAATTTCCGGTGTTTTGAATATTATATAGCTTCTGTGATCAGATGAACAGTCTGTCGAAGATGCAGCAATATGGTAGGTAATCACGTACATACATATATTTAATATTTTAACATAATTCACGCTAAGCCCACAAACACGGCACGGTTGCGGTGCGTTTGTATATTATTATAACGTATAATTTACGTTTACTTGTGTTATTGTTGTGCGAATCCTGTTCGGAGCTTAAGTCGTATTATTGTAATAACAAAACGCACCTACGCGTCTTTCTGTTTTGAGGTTATGTTTTCGCGATCAAAACAAATTGCTGTCAAAAGTCTAATAATTTATCGAGATTATGACGTTTGTGCTTAGAAAAAAAACTTAAAATTGTCCGCGAAATATTAAATAATGCCTTATTCTTTACACAATCGATTTGCTTTGCCGACATGTTTTATTAGAAGGTTATACATTTTTTTTCTATCTATGCTGATAGTCTTGAGAGGCCATTTCAGCTTCTCCTAGACGTGTAGGTGAGCTCACGGGGCTCAAACCGGGTGTGTTGCTAGTACTAGCCCCAGCAAGAACAGTGCTTCGCAGAATCTACCACCGTATCGCGACCCACTGAGAAGATCCGGCTAGAAACTCAGTGGGCTGACGGTCATAGACGCATGAAGTATTAAACTTATAGTTTCAATAGTTAAATTGACGTATCTCATATCAGCATTTCCGCCATTTAGCATCTAGAACCATAAAACGATTTAAAATAAAAATGCAATCATCACTCGTATTAATCAATTGACATCCCCACGTCAAGCGATTGACAAAAGCGAATACCGCGACTTTAATTTACATGTTAAATGTATTGCTGGTTCTAATTGATTTTGAAGTCGGTCTCCCAAAGAAAAACAGCTTTGTATTTAAAACAAAGAAACCGTGTGCGTGTAGCGTTCGATGTTAGCGCGGTGCGTGTCATCGAACCCGAGCCTTGACCGAGGCAGTGAAAGTTGGACTCCGCGTAATTGACATGGCGCAGACGATGTGATTTTTAAAATTGGAACAACTCATTTACAAATTTATTTTATTACTCATTTCGCGCCAATTCATTTTTGACTGAATGTACGTTAGCTACTTTGTTTTATTAGTATTTTTTTTTTAATATCTAGTCTGTTAACATAAGTAAATTCTTTTTTTCAACTCAAAGGCTCAAACCGGAAGTTTTGCTAACACTGGCCCTAGCAAGATTCGCAGAATCTACCACCAGAAAGGAAACCCGACCCGCTGAGAAGATCCAACGAGAAACTCAGTGGGCTTAACATTATTATTTATTGTCATTATTATTAGGGAGCCTAGCACTCATATAAATATTAGGCTATCCATTAAGTACATGTATTTTCTACATCGATACCAAGTTTCAAGTCAATCGGGTGCATGGTTCAGTACCAGGCTGTGCATATGGGTTAATTCACTCGAGCCCTTCGTCGCAAATGACGGGTTCGACGAGGACGGTGACCGGAGGTAAATTCTAGTTAGATACTGATTGTATGAAATTAAGTACTTAATTCTGTTCACGAACAACTTCAATGATGAAGGAATAAAATCGTATAATAAAAATATATTTTACTCGATGCGGTGATACGTTCCGGTTTCAAAGGCGGTGCAGCCATTATACAACTAAATTAAGACTCCGACCTCATGTTTTTGAGCTCAGGTAACCCCTTAACGCCAGACGGGCTACGAGTTCGATGAAAAAAAAAAATTATCTTGCGCTTTCTATTTTTATGTCATATATTAGTTATTTAGTCTGTGGTTTCGAAATGAAAACTTTTCTGCAAAAATCCCATTTTTATTTGTATGTGACCAAAACCAAAACAGTAATTTTGAATGGTCGGTTTAATACTTTTCATTTTGGAAACATTTGCCTCAAAAGGAAATGCGTTTGCGTTGAGTTTCTAAATCAAAGTTTCTTGAATGCGAGTGGAATCGCGGGTGGCCCCCCTAGTTCATTAAATGATACGCCTTTCTCAATCACCGGGTGAAGAATACGCGCGAATACATTATCATTCATTTTTAATGCATTACCAATTCAAGGCTGTTTGCAAACCACAGATAACACCCCACACATTGCACTGGACAGGCTAATGTTAAATTAAAAACGAAACGTATGATTGAGCTATTTTTATTCACCTAAAATTTAAAAATATTCAACAAACTACACATTAGTCAACAACGATCATAACAAACAGCAGCATTTAACAAACAAACAAAAAAAAACAATAGAAAACAAATAAATATCACAACGATAGTCATTACTGATGGAAACATATCTCCAACAGATCTACATAGTCTTAAAGTTGTACTCAAAATATTTTTGGCTCCGTCGCACGCTAACTAAATTCATACGTGCGACAGAGACAAAACTAATTCGTTGAGTTTGTATAATATTAATACTATTTTGTATTTACAAATGGCAGTCCTGGCCACTAACACACTAATACGAAAAAGTCACGAATTTGAATTCCGGTGTTACGTAAGTAATTTCGAATTTCAAATTTATTACTTTTTTTAGAGCTCACACCAAATTAATAGCCACAAGTTGTAATACGTAGATACGCGTACCAGATATTTTACTTTAGCCGTTCAAGATTTATTTGGTGTGAATCGAATCCGCTCATTTAGTGTTTACCTCCCTTATGGTGGTAGATGTGTTTGTACACGGGTACATGGACGGGGTAGGGTTTAGGGATGGGCACCTCTACTTTTTTTTCGACCTCAACGGGATAAGGCTTTTCGACTTCATAGGGCACTGGTTTCTCGACCGTGTACGGTACTGGTTTTTCAACAACTTGGTGGACAACCTGAAACAAAAAGTAGCATTATTAATATTGTTAGAAATTTGTTGTTGGCGCTTTAGTTTTTTTTGTGTAGACAGAGACTTTTTTTTTCTAGCTATGCTGATTGCCTTGAGAGGCTATATCAGCCTTACCGGACGTGTAGGTGAGCTCATGTGGCTCAAACCTGACGAAGTTGCTAACACTGACCCTAGCAAGAGCAGTGCTTCGCAGAATCTACCACCGGATCGGAACTTACTCGGACTCACTGAGAAGATCCAGCGAGAAATCCCACTCAGTGGGCTAAGACAGAAAATTCATACTTCGCCCGGACTATCGAACCTCAAAGAGATCATATACATAGATGCCAATGTTACAATATTAGTTGATGTTATAATTCATAATAAATGAAAACGTTTTTTTTTTTTTTTCTAATTATATTATAAGTGTATTTGAAAAAAATTGTGGTAATGTTACATTATAACGTAACAAGTTTTTAACATAGCATATTAATTGGCTGAGAAAAAATCTGTTCAAAAATCAATTCAAAATAAAAGCTAAACTAATTTAATAAATAAATTAAAATTACATGTAAACTATATGTAGTAAGCGTAAAATTATTTCTCTACTATCCAGTTAATTCCAGATTTTGATTTAATTTAAAATAGAGCTCGAAACAAGACGTTCTCATTCGAGATCACGCTAGACTGACTGTCACTTTTACTTTCGATGCGGCCTGTTGCGTTACGTAATTATTGGTGCAGTACAACATAAATACTCCTTATGTCATCCAGCAACAAGAGAATGAAAAAAAAAACGCATTGACTTTATTACGCTATTACAGAATTCGTTGAATGAGTAAAAGTGTGCCGTTCGCGTAGTTTTTTTTTTTTGTGTTCGTTTTTATGAATTGGCGCAGTCGTGAATCGTTTCGAAACTCTAATCACCATTTCTGATTTTATATGAGTTTTTTTTTTTTTTGGTAATTACATAAAAGTCGGTAGATTTATGTAACAATGCGATATTTTTGGCGTTTTTTTTTTCTGTTACGGATATCACCACATGGCAAAAATCTTCGTTCCGGTGCCCCAGTTATAAAAAGACGAACGAGCAGACAGTTTCACGACTCTTACGACGTTTGTAAATGTATTGAGAGCTTACCTTATAAACAGGTACATGGATAGGTTGCTCCACTGTGACGTGGACCGGGTAGGGTTGAGGTATGGGCACCTTCACGTACTGCGGGACCGACACAGCCACCGGATGGGGAATCGGAACTCCGATCTTCTTCACCACGGTCACATGGTACGGCTTCGTGTGTTCTGTGTGCGTGTGGCCTTCGGGCTCCCATTCTTCAGAAGGCCGAGCGCTGGCGAGCGCTACTAAGAGAAGGACGACTGTTGTTTTCTGTAACACAAAGCAATGCTTACATTAAAATTCTACAATCTACAATCACGACTCAAAGTAATGCTATTATGAATCTATAATCATAGATTTTAATAGAGCTACAAGACAAAGTCAACCGACATTGAATTGCATAAGATTAAATCTTCATTACAAACTCAATTGTCTCTCGCATGCTTCGAAAACGAAAGCAAAACGCGATCACGTTCAGAAGTAACAGTTAACTTGTTCTATACAGTAGAAAGGAAACTCGTCCTTTCACTGCGAGATGATATAGGAAATAACGTAACCAGTAATAATACACTACCTGTTATTTAATATACCAGATGATATGATACATAATTTCGCATCACTGTTTGAATGTATCTGGTATTGTAACATCGTGTCAGAACACGATTTGAATTTTGTTTTCTTTTTTAATGTAAGTTAATAAAATATACACACTTTCTCTTTTGTTTGACTAAATTATTACATTTACAAGGTAGAATAAAATAGAAGACTTTTTTGAGGATATTCTAACAGCGGTCTTGGAATTCCGTTCAGAAAATAACTATCAAGGCTTTTTTATATGCTTAATTTAGAAAGAACACCCATAAAATAATATAGAAGTTACAAAAATTAGAAAAAGTGTTGCCTGGTTAAAAATAATAATTGAAAACTGAGGTAAAAATGTATTCACTCTCGATTTTCTTAATATTATTTTTCGTGATTTTATGTTACAATAAAAGTTATTTGTTCACAATGATTTAAAAAATTCATAATTTTAAAGTGTCTTGTAAAAAATTAAGATCTCACATGGTATTTGGGGTATAGAGTTTTGATCTCGAAACATTAGGCCTTTTGCCTACAACTGAATTAACTTAACCCGATTACAAAACAGACTGTTACATTGTAAATAGCGAAAATTAACTTACAAAAGCGATCATGTTGCCTTACTGAGGTTCGTTCGACTTCTGTGTATAGACTGTGGCATTCTCTGATACCCCCGAGCGTTATATAGTTGGTGAAAGATGGCCAGGCCTTTCGATTCAGCCGTAGGAAGTACTTGGAGTAAAGCATAACAGTGAGACACAATTGCTTCGGACGGTATACATTGAGGGTTTGCAAACAGTATTAAATTGAGGGCTGACGTCTAGTGTTCAAAAAAAATCATTTATTCTCATAATTTTTCAAAACGTTTAAGTGGCTGGGTACGAAGATTTTGACTTAATTACATTATAACGTAAACTTTTACTTACGACAGCTTTTTTACTAACGAATTCTTAATAAACAGAATCTTATACGTTCTACTTAATACTAAGTGTTCTACTTAATACTATAAAAGGTATCTAAGGGCCAAAATTCAGATATGAAATTTAAAAAAAAGGCTACTCACTGACATTATTCAAAAACACTTCTTTTTTCCTACCCAAGCTGATAGCCTTGAGAGATTATTTTAGCGTAACTTTAACTACTAGGTGAGCTCACGGGGCTCAAACCGGAGTGATGCTAACACTGACCCTAGCAAGAGCAGTGCTTGGCAGAATCTACCACCGGATCGGAAACGCGACCCACTGAGAAGATCCGGCGAGAAACTCAGTGGGCGAAAAAACCCAGAATGCTACGTGCCATTTATATTTTATTTTTATTTTGACAGCTTCACAAACATCTAAAGCAACAAGAATTACTCCCTCTCAATATCATTCTTGTATGTAGCAGTCAATGTATAATGTGGTCGTCTCTCGAACCGTCCCAGGCAACGCGGTAAAAGTCCTCACTATAGATTTTATTAACGAGAATTTAAGACAAGTTTTGCATTTTTTTTCTTCTTTAATTTTATATGAATCTGTGCATGTTTTTTTCAAAAGCTATGGAAGTGATTGTTCATTAAAATGTGACATAACGTGTTCCTTTTAAAAGTCAATGAAAGTGATATTGATTTTTTTTTTTTTATTAGCACAAGGGGATCGACTTATGACTATATAGACTTATTAGATAATTTTTTTTGTTGCTACATTATACATGAACTCAAGGGCCCGACGTTGAGAATTCACGAGAATCCATAGATATCGGAGCGTGAATTATCTACCGATTATAGTTTATGTACGCGAAGTGGTCACAAGTGTATTTTTTTTTATTGCTTAGATGTATGGACGAGCTCACAGCCCACCTGGTGTTAAGTGGTTCTTCTTCTTCTATATCGTTCCCTCACTACTGAGGATCACGACCACATGCGATGTACTTCCAATGCACGGTGTTAAGTGGTTACTAGAGCCCATAGACATCTACAACGTAAATGCGTCACTTACCTTGAGATATCATTTAATTAGGTCTTAGTATAATTACAACGGCTGCCTCGCCCTTCAAACCGAAACGCGTTACTGCTTCACAGCTGAAACAGGCAGAGTGGTGGTACCTACCCGTGCGGACTCACAAGAGGTCCTACCACCAGTATTAGAATGAAGGTTATTCTCGTATAATTTCAAGTCGTCTTTGTGGCCTAACATGGCGTCATGTACTCAAGTTTTGCAATGGCGTTCAAATGTCACCTATCCGAGATGGAATGAATATAACATAATATTAATAAAATATTAAAACTGCATTATAAGTGTAAAAACGTGCGTAGGTATTTTATCTCTTCAGCGAAGATGGAAGATGGCAGATATATATAAAGATTGTGGTTTTGTTACTGTCCAATAGGCATCCCATAGGTTCATGCCCGTGAGCGACAGTGACCACTTACCATTAAATAGGCTGTATGCTCGCCTGCCAGAAAAAAACAGAAATTTCTAGTAAATGAACTAGGAGATAATGCAGTCGATATTACGGCGCACCTTGAAAAAACGGGTACACAATTATTCTGTGAATTATTGATACTTGCTCCGCGCTAAAATACTAACTTCTTCCAACAGCAATCGAGGTAACATTAAGGATCAGCTTGAGGTAGCGTAATTCATATTCTATACTTACATAGCTCTTTTAGCACGCATGAGCGAACATTATATAATCGCCTTACATTGAGCTTGACAGTCGCTTCCTCCCCTCAACTGAGGTGAAATGGCTATATAATAATAATATTATTATGATCCTAAGCCTCCCCTTTTGTTGAGTGGAGGCACATCAGGCCACTGAGTTTTTTGATTAGCGAAGCGAGTGCCTTTGAGCTGATAGGTCTCCTTCGGAGGCGCTCGGGCAGCTGTTAGCAAATCCCACCCCTCCTAGGTTGAAACAGGGAAGGCCTCTAAGTCACCAGCAATCCTTCCACCGCAAAAAGTTTGAGTGGAGTCGAGGTCGTTTCGAGGTATTTACTACGAGTGAGTGTTGGTTCGGACGTTCTCAACTAAGAATTATGTATTATGAAAACAAGCGGGTGAGTTATTTTGGACACATTATAATGTCGTTTTGATAATAACAAGCATCAGGAACGGTAAGCTTAGATCGAAGTAAAAACTGTTATAAAGTTTGGACCATTAAAAACACGCGCTATAATTATCGTCCGGTACAGGATATAAGCGGAAGCGATTTAAAAATTCTAGTTTAGAGAAGGAATTTTAAAGCAAACGGAGCTTCTAAAATTAATGTTCATTGTTTATTGCGTGCTTTGTGATTTACAAAGATATTTGAGGACTTAGCACTACACATTAGCATGCTTTTATTTTTGTCCAGGAATTGAACAAAATGTTAAAATTTATATTTTGTATACTTTTATTATGTACTCCTTTTTACAGTTTTATATTATGTATTCGATTCACATCAAGTCTGCGTCTTATTGCTTATGTTGTTGGTGTTGCGCACGCGTCTCTGTCGCGTCTGTCTGTCTTCACGTTTTGTTCCGGGTCTCCCCGCATTCTGCTTCCGCGTGCCCCCCATGTTTAGGTATCGTCGCCGACAATTAGCTTCGTACGTATGTACGTTTGGTTGTATGTAATGGAATCTTTTAACGACAAACTCATTGACTTCCACACGTCAGATCAACTTGAAAATTTGCTTGCGTGTCAAGGACCCATGACGATGTTTTTTCTTTTCGGGAAAGAGGCCCAACCTCCTACGAGGTTTCCGCGCCTAGGGGGCACGCGGGGAATGTGGGACTTGACGGTCTGCAGATGTTGGGAGCAGACCGCCGGCCCAAGGATATTCGATGATGACACAATCATTTTATAACTCCACTCTAATATCCTGACCGAAATCAAGAGGGTTTGAAAAACGACGAAGTTAATTGTTAGTCCTGTTTGCTAATTATTAGTTAGCCAATTTTTTTTCAAAGTTTTAAAATGACATACATTTTTTTTATTGTGTCAATTTTAATTTTGTTATTTATTTGTGCTCATGAGCTTATGCTTTGTACCACACGGCGAGCGCGCCCAGACTAGGACACGCGGCGTTTCGGACACAGACTTCCGCGTGCACATTGTTTGACTTATCTCGAGCATTTATTGTACACATTACAATTCAATTTATTTTCTTACATAATAACCGCGTTAGTATAGTGCTGTTTTTTTTAATTGCTTAGTTAGGTGGACAAGCTCACGGCCCGCCTCCTGTTAAGTGGTTACCGGAGCCCTTAGACATCTACAACTTAAATGCGCCACCCACCTCGAGATATAAGTTCTAAGGTCTCAAGTATAGTTACAACGGCTGCCCCACCCTTCAAACCGAAACGCATTACTACTTCACGCCACAAAATAGGCAGGGTGGTGGTAGTATACCCGTGCGGACTCACAAGAGGTCCACCACCTACCACCAGTAAATCATTCATTCATCATTCATTTCATATCGGTCAATCAAAATATGAACCTTTAGTATCACTGCGTCTCTGCCAGCGCAGTGGTAATATGTCACTACTCTTCTTGAAGAATTCAGGTGTATGAGATCCAATAGACTCTTCAAAGGCATTTCGTACCGCCTATCGAGTGTTGATTTCCTACCTACCACCTAGTCCTACCACTAGTATTACCGCCATTGTTGTTTTTTAATAGTTTTAAACAAGAAGGTTTAGTTATGTTTAGTTTCATAATGTATCGACCGCAAGCACGTTCTACGTGACGTCATATTATTTTTTCGATCGCAAAAACTTCAAAAACTCTCGCAGACGTGTGGACTGAGCGAACCTTAGTCGAAAGCGGTATCTACATAAGCATATTATTCACAAGCAATAAATTTTATTAGACAAATACAAACATGACAATTCGATGGAAAACAGCTGCGACGTGGACACCTTGTGAACCGAATTAAAATTTATTTTATATTTATCTTTTATCTTTGTCACTTCAAATACAAATAGCTGGGGTTCGTGTTAATTTATAATAAGGTACAATTAGGAACATGTATGGATAGCATGCGTGTGTAATGTGTCTCTAACGTTGTTCGTACGCAAATTGTAAATTACACCTTAATCCTTATGACAGGTGCTATCAGTGGCGGATTTACCCTAAAGCCCGGTAGGCCCGAGCCTAGGGCGGCCAGATGTAGGGTCAGCCTCAATAGTGTCAAAAAACTTATAACGTATGGCGGGCGGACTGCCCTGCATGGCGCAATCTATACCGCATAAAACTAACTTTTTTTCTTAAATTTCTCAATCTATTTAGATAAAGTTGGCAATAAAGTAATATCATTATGTAGTCTATATGGTGGATGCTGAGAAAGAGGCGGCTGATGGCTTGGGGCCTAGGGCGGCCGAGACTGCAAATCCGACACTGAGTGATATTGAAATTAAACTCAATGACCAGCAATGCCAGGGGCAGAGCCAAGCCGCTGCCTACCATTGAGTGCTCTCCGTAAGCCTCGTTTGAAGAAGAACATGTCATAGCGCTCGAGAAGCACCGTGGGGGGAGTTCATTCCAAATCTGGATGGTACGTGGCAGAAAAGATCTTTGGAAACGCAATGTCGATGAACGCATCGGTTATAAATGATATGAATGAATTCCGGTAGCTGGTGCAGGTGTGATGG